GTGTAAAGTCGTCGCAATGGAATGAAGTATATGTATAATTGCTTAGTTGATCCACTACCACCAATATCACAGTAAATCCTTCTAATCGCGGCAACCGCTATATAAAATCAATCGCCACCTCCTCCAAAACCTTCTCAGGTAAAGCTAGGGGTTGCAATAATTTTCCTAGTTCTAGAGTCAAATATTTGTATTGTTGGCACACATCGCATTTAGCCACCATGCCCTTTACATCTCTATGCATCCCTACCCAATACAGCTCTACCCACATTCAACTATATGGTTTTTGTACCAATAAGTGCCCCCCAAATCGTGCTTCCATGAAACTCTTGCAACTGTTTGGGGATGTACATCGATGCTCTCAGTAACACGGATCGCCCCTGGTAGAGTAGTTGTTGTCCCCTCAATGATGGATGATTGTCCAGATACTATAGCAACTCTGTCCTCATCTTCCTCAGCCCCTCATCCTATTCACTCTCCTGCCTCAATGCTGATAAAGCTGCCAACTGGGGCTCCTCCACCTCCCTCGACAGTGCTTTTGTGGTCTTATTCTCTAGTCCTGGCCGATACAAAATCTCAAAATCATATCCCAGTAACATAAATAGTCATCGATGATGCTCCTCAGTCACCATCCTCTACTCAAATAAATACTTCAAACTTCTCTGATCTATCATGACTATAAAGTGTCGCCCTAATAGATAAAGACCAATTTTTAATGGGCATAACAATAGCCATCTTCCACTCATATCGGACTTGAGCTAAAACTCCTCTGATCTATCATGACTATAAAGTGTCGCCCTATAGATAAAGACCACTTTTTAATGGGCATGACAATAGCCATCTTCCACTCATATCGGACTTGAGCTTCACCCTATCAATGAGCACCTAACTGAAATAGGCAATAGGTCGTTATTCTAAATGTGTATTGCCCCCAATCCATATGTTGACGTGTATCACAAATGGCCAATTGAAGTTTGGAAGTGTTAATGTTGCAACATTTATCAAGGCTCTCTTTAGTTGTTCGAAGGCCTGTGTCACTACTTCCCCTCACTTGGAATTTTCTTTCTTCAGCTTCTCCGTCAGTCACCATGCAATAGTTCCATATCATCTCATGAATTTTCGATAATACCTGATGAGACCTAAGAACCCTCTCAACTCTTTCAAGCTCCTAGGAAAAAGCCAATCCAACATAATCTCAATCTTAGAATGATATGTCGCTACCCCTGCCCTGGCCACCACATACTCTACGTACTCCATCCATGACTATGCAAATGAGCATTTCTTCAAGTTGGCACAAAACTGATGCTCTCTCAAAGTCTCAAGTATTGTACTCAAGTGTCTTATATGCTCTTCTTCCATACGACTATAAATCAAAATGTCATAAGAAAATATCAGGAAGACATTCTTGAAGTAAGGCTGAAAAGAAATATTCATGAGAGACTAAAATGTGGCTAGAGCATTGGTAAGGCCGAATGACATCACCAAAAACAAATAAATAATGTCTTTCATGAGTCCTGAACGTTGTCTTATGCACACAACTGACTCTATCCTAATCTGACAATATTCCAACTTTAGACCAAGCTTCGAGAAGATGACTGCTCCAAAAAGCTCATCCCACAACTCATATCCGTTCTATCAACCTTTCTCCAATGAAAACCTATAATCGAATGAGTAAAGCATTATTAATAATTATTATATTTTAATATTACTATAAAAGAGTAATTTGTCATTATTTTACTTTTGATGTATTATATCATTATTTTATTTTTAGATCGTATAATCTATTTCTTCAAATAACTATTATTCCTAATTTATATCAAATTGTTTTAATGTATATTTTCAAAATTTTAATCAGCTCAAATTTATCACTCGATCTCGATAGCTCCCTAGCTTTAATCGATAATATTAATTAATAGAAATGAATATAATTTATAATAACTAATTAAATAAACCAAACTAATAATAAAAAAATAAAACCCATGACACTTATGGCTCGGCTTCCCTACTACACACAGATTGGCCTTTTTCTCCCGCAATCTCGTGCTTGACTCATTTTCTTCCGATGTTCTCACATAGTAATATGTGAGCACTTCTTCCTCCCTTTTTTCTTCCTTCGCTTAACTAGGGCACAACACTTCTTCCTTCTGGTTTAGTTAGGGTTCAACGATCTCTTTCCTTGGGCTTCATCCCACAAAAGGCTTGATTCACCTTATCCTCCTTCACACAGGAATCACGAAGTGCTTGAAGGTGAAGTCGATGTTTCACTCCATGGCTTCCAATCCTTCTAAAAGAAATCGTTGTCTTCTTGCTCTAGACAAACCTGAGTTCCTTCCACTTCTTCCTTCCTCTTTACTTCACTCTCTCTATTTCTCTCGACTCTTCTCTGTTCTATGGCTCATCTTCCTCCATCTCTATTTAAATTGTCTCGACTCCTTCACTTCATTTCTAATTCCAATATATGAAACACTTTATTCTAGCCTACGAACTATTGGAACTGAGTGTTATAACTACCCAATCTGTAGAAGTCAAAGCAACTATTGCAAGTGTTGCAAATGCTCCTCCTTTAAATAAATATACACTATAATATCGTTAAAATACACAATCACAAATTTTTCGATAAAGAGAAGCCTAGTTCATCAACCTCATAAAAAAGTTTGGTGCATTAAATAGGCTAAAAGGAATGATTTTCACTCATACAAATCATCCTGCATCTTAAAGGTGATTTATAACTTATTTTGTCGCTTAAGCTGAATTCGGTGATATCCATTGTGCAAATCAATTTTTAAAAGGATGTTAACTCCATACAACTAATCCAACAAACCGTAATGATGATCTTATTCACTACTTTATTGTCAATTCACATAGGCCACATTTCGTTCTTCTTGGGCACAATCAAAGCTAATACAACTTAAGAAATAGTACTCTTACGAGCTAACCCCTAAATCATCTAATTCTCATTTCATTTTTGTAGCAACTCATACATTGTTGGTCGCATTTAGCAAGCTAAACGGTTAAAGAGCACTGTTCTTGAAATAAGAATTATGAAGAAACACGCGCAGAAGTGATAATCCAAGTAATAGGCGGTCAGTCAGAATATATGAAACTCCTCCAATAGAAATCATATTGTCTTAAGTATCAGCTCCTTCATTCTTATTATTACATCTAACATCATCAAAGCCAACCCCACTGGCGCATCTCTTATAACATGTTGAAATATAGTATGATGCAATAGAACTCTCATCTTTGTTTAAGTATTTAGTATTATTGCTTCCTTCAATGTAAAAGCATAATACATTTCCGCCCTTCATAAATGAATAGATATTTTTATGGCAATAATGAAGTGTAGTCTTATCATACTATCATGATCGGCCCAATGGAATATGGCATGCATTTAGAAGGACTTTATCACACTACACTTGATCTTATAGCTCGTCTTCAATAGAACACTCTAACATACATCTCTTGTCAATACTTATATCACTCATCTTCTTCTATCAAATAAATGAATATGATTGAAAATATTTTCTGGTAGTGTGATTCAAAATATTTACCATAGGTGTAGACAACACATTCTCACAACTATCTTCGTCTATAATAATGCTACACACATTCTCCTTCACAGTACAACTGGTATGGAAGATGTTATTTCTAAGCATTATTGACCCCTCTTCGGTTCAATCTGTAGAACTTGTCAAACCATGAGCATCTTATCATTTGTGGCACCTAGTATTTCTCTCCATTTTCCTCTTCTCCACAGTTTCAACTATATGATTCTTCCACTACATCCCACTTAATATAAAGATCGCAATTGGATAAAATATGTTCATATTCATGACACTAAAACACTTCATAGTTGAGAAAGTCTTAGGAGTACTGGCCCAATCAGTTCCTTCTTCACTTATGATGGTTTCTCTTCACAAGGTGCATGTTTGGGCACTTGGGTTAGTGTGCTCTTAATGCCCGGCCTAAAAACTTACTCCACTTCTTGGAGCCGCCTGATGAACTTACTTAAGTTCATATGATTATCAAAATCTGATAAATAGAAATTCACACTATAAGTCACCATCTCTCCACTATATTCAATACTGAATCGACGTGGCATCGACTCTTCATCACTTGAGACTACTTGGTTAAAAAGAATTTCATCTTCTCTAATCGATTGGTTATCATTACTGTTGTTGATTACTTCATTATGTTGTGCTCTTTCAAAAACAGCGAACCTCTGTTACAAATGAAGTAGCCATCACTGCATATCCTCCATATTAAACTTTTGAACATCTCCCTAAGAGTTTCTTCTAGGCAGCATGATACTTGCTCTTCACTTCACCTAAGGTAGAATTGTGGATGTAAGTTTGGTCGAATGTTTAGTTTTAGGTGGAGGTTATAGAGACAGTTTTTGGGGGAGGTAGCAAGGTTAGATTTTGAAGGATTAGGGTTAAGGTTAGATATTGAGATTAATAATTAGCTTTGATACCAAATGCCACCATTCTATAGTATCTAGAAAGCGTATGTGGATCGAAATAAATGCTGGAGATGTCTGAAAAATAGTAAAAAATATGAGAATTGACAAGAATTGGAGGAAAACTTATCATGATTGTTGTCCAATATAGAAGACAGTAGGGTAAAACCAATCGTTGGCAATTTCGGCAAGACATGGATAACAGGGAGGATCTAACATCTGTTCTCTTCAACATACAACCTCACCACTTGAAGGAGAAATGTTTGAGCCTCTGAATGGGCGAAAATAAAAACATACCCAAGCCAAGGTCCCAGTTCCACTTGCATTATTATTGAAGCTCGACTTAATCATCTGAGCCTCCAATTTTGGGGAGATTTCTAAATGCTAGTTCTTCAAGCAACCTAATGTGTTCAGTGAGCGCAAAGAGGTTTCAAAAAGTGCATGAGAAATGCTGCAGCCTTCTCAAGTGCGTAATCAATGAAAATTGGACAAAGCTAAAGTGAGGGATTTCCAGTTACATGCAAACCAAAAATGCAAATCATACCCTGAATGATTGGAAAAGATTATGCTCCAGAGATGCAATCGTCGGCAATATCAGCTTCTCCGACAAAAAAATTAATGAATTAATAACAGCCAAAAGGGAATAAATAAATAGTCTTCCGCCAAATCATCAGATCCTAAGGGCGCAAGAAAAAAAGAAGCAAATAAGAATGTTGGAAGATTTCCTTAGCTGGAAAAACACATAGCTCCGAACAAGTCACAGCTGAATCGATCCAGACTCCGCCGAATCATTGGCTGCTCCAGAATCATATCGGTTTATGGAAATAGAAAGCAAATCAAGGAGACGGGATAAACTGCCAGGGATTTGAGGAGGGTTTGGGTGATTACGAGACAAATAGGTCATAGTAACACAGATATAGCCCGACTACCAAGAAGAATCTCCCCGTCGGCCTTCTACAAGATGTATTTTCCATGGACCTGCTACCAGGAATCAGTTTTTAAAAGACTAATTAGTTAATTCTTAATCATCTTTAAAATATAATATGTAAAAATATGCAAGTATTATTACCCACAAGACTAGATTTGGCGATTCTTCTTCTCTCTAGGGTTTATCAAGATTTTTCTCTTTATTTATCTAGAAATCTCTTATCCTTTCTTCTCTATGTTTTTCGCTTCTTCGTTGTTAGTTTTTCATTATATTTCGGGGCTCTTGTCCCTTTTATGTTTTCCTTTTTGATGGAGCATTTTCCTCCTCTCTCGGCTACTTCTCAATCACTTTTAGGACCTACTTTGTCTCTTAATTGGAAGTGTCATCTCTTGTAATCTTACTAGTTCTTCAAATTTTTGTTTGTCTTATAATTCTTGTGTGACAAATAGGGTTTCTTTTTTTCAATCAAGAAATTGTTGATGGATCTAAGCAAAGTAGTCTAGCTCAGTTGGATATGTGATTGGTATGTGTCATTTCTAAGGATAATCGCAATTAGCTATCAATAAAGTAGGGAAGTTGAAAGGTATTGTTGATCTTCTTTCTTTGCTTGAAAGTTTTTTTTTATTATTTAATTTTACTTGTGTTGAGGTTTTGACATAGCCTTGGTGGGTGGACCATGGTTCATTAATGGAAAAACATCTATTTTCAAGAAGTGGACTCGTGATTATATTCCTATTAAGGAATATTTTAAAGATGTTCCAATTTGGGTTAAATTTCCTGATTTACCTCTTTGTTATTTGAATGAAAATGACATTTCTAATACTGCTAGTCAAAACGGTATTCCTTTGGTAGTTGATTCTTTAACTTCTATGTTTTCTCGGCTTTCTTTTGACAGAGTTAATATTCAAATAAACATTCTCCCCTCTTCCTGATTTTGTTCTCTAGACATTAAATAGCATGAATTTAAACAGCATGTCATTCATGAATGGAAACCAACCCCTTGTAAGGCTTGTAATATTTTTGTTAATGACTCTTAATCTTGTCATAAAGTTAGTATTGTTCAATCTAAAGAAGTTGCTCTGGTTTGCAAAGGAAAGAATTATAATAAAATTTATTATAATCAGAGATTTCAAATAAGTAACAGTTGACCACATAGTCCTATTAGGGTTTCTACTGTTGATGTTATGCTCATAATTCTTCTAGTAGTTCTCATACTTTAGAGAGAGTTGTGAAATAAATCTTATCGTTTCTAAGATTCTTACTATCAATTACTTTGAAATCTAACTTAATATTTTTTATGCTAATATGTTGAATTTGGAAAATAAGAATGATCATAATTTGCAAAATCATAAAGATGTTGATTTGTGTAATGCTGATTTATTTTTTTTTAATGCTTCTGATTTTGTTTATATGGAGGCTGTTGATGGAAATGTCTTAAATCAAAATATTATGGTTATAAATATTACTCATATTATGAAAAACATATTATTCCTAATTTATTTACTGCAACTTGTTCTGTAGTTTCTACTCCTTTTTCCTCTATCGCTAGGGCATAAAAAGGGAAATCTAGAGCTAGAAATGTTACCCGCTAGTCTCTTTATTTTTTTTTATTATGTTTTATCTTAATATTCTTTTTTAAAATGTTCATTGGTTAGCAATGAAACTCATGTTGTTGATTGCAAAGAGATTATATGGAGAATCATGTCCATATGATTTCTCTTTTAGAGACTACACTTTTTATTTCTTCTATTAATGATAATTTTTTTTTGTTCAAAACTATAGACATTTTAATAAAGAAGGTACTCTACATAACTTTGACATTTTTTTATAAATCGGTGTATTTGGATAAATTGAACTTTGATGTTCTATCCTATTCTACTATTGATATCAATTTTTAATATATTCATGGTTTTATTATTTTTTATTCTAATGTTAAATTTTTTTTGTGACTTTTCTATATGCAGATAATAGTGCTACTATTAGAAGAAATCTTTGGAATTTTTTTATATCTTTTGGTGATAATATTAATGATCATTAGCTTTTGTTGAGTGACTTTAACTACATTTTAGAGTTAGTGAAATGGTTGGTAGCCTTCCACCAACTCCTTATAAGCTAACTATTTTTAATAATTGTATTCTTATATCTAGTATTTTTAAGTTACAAAATATTTGTCGTAAGTTTAGTTGGTATAACAATCAACTTGATAATCCCATTGGATGATTTTTTGATAAGGATTTTTGCAATGTTTCTTGGGTGGATAGGTTTTCTTATTCTTTTTTAAAGTTTTGGATAATTCTACCTTGGTTCATTCTCATATTTTTGTTTCTCTTATGACTTGTTATGTTCTAAAGCATAGAGTTTTATATAAGAATTTTTGGAGTAATTGATTCAGTTTTCATAAGCTTGTTCAAGATGCTTGGTGTATTAATGTTAAAGGCGATCCTCTATATTCTCTTTGTAATAATCTAAAAATATCAAAGATACTTTTAAGCATTAGAATTGAAATAACTCTAACTATCTCTATGAGTGCATTTTGAGGCATAAAAAGTGAGCAATAAACTATTTTAAACAATTTGGATATCAATCTTCTTTATAAAAATTTACTTAGCCAAGTTTCTCTTAATCAAAGATAAGTTTCATAATGTTATTTCTTGTAATTATAAATGGTTAAAATAAAGGATTAAGTGTGAATGGCTATTAAAAGGTAAAGTTGATGTTAAATTTCTTTATCAAAAGCTTAAAGTTAGAAATAAATCTAATTTCATTAAATAAATTTTAATCAATGACATTTATCTTCATCATCATCAAGATATTGCAAGTGAAGTTATTTCTTTTTTTAAGTCATTGCTTATTAATGTTATTGAGGTTCCCAGTTCTGTTTTAATGAATTTCTTATTATGTAGTCAATTTCTGCTTCGCATAGTGAGCATTTTTTTCTTTTTGATGGAGCATTTTCCTCCTCTCTCGGCTACACTTTAATTAATAATTTTTCTAATGAAGAAATTAAAATTTCTTTTTATTTTTTTGGGAGTTGTAAATCTCCTAACCTTCATGGTTTTTCATCTAAACTATTTTAAGACACTTAGAATATTATTGGGAATAATAGCATTTATGTTACAAAATATTTTTTAAAAATCTAATAAGCTTCCCATTAAAATTTAACATGTTGTTATCATTTTAATTCCTAAAAGACATGGTGCTCAAACTTTAAATGATTTTTGTCTCATTTCTTTTTATAATACTCTATAAAAAGCTATTGTAAGCTCTTAGTTGATCATATTAAGATTGTTCTTTGTAATAATATTAATCTTTTTTCAGTCTGCTTTCACTGAAAGAAGAGATATTGTTGATAATGTTATTTTGGCAAATGAGTATTTATTTGGAATTAATTATATTGATTTTGATAAGAAATTTTGTTCTAAAATTAATTTACTTAAAGCTTTTGATAAACTTAATCATACATTTCTTTATGATAGAATGGTCAGATTGTGTTTCCTTATTAATTTTATTTGTTGAACTAAGACTCATATGGATGATGTTTATGTTCATGATATAATTAAAATTGAAATGAATAAATACTTTGCATTTTCTTATAGTTGCACGTCCTTCTTCTGTATTAAATGTCTTATAACAAAATAGTAGTATGAAAAATACATTTAGCTACAATGAGATATAATCTGAACTTATCAAAAGCATAAACAATTGCTAATAAATTTTTCTCAGTAGTGACATAATTAATTTGAACTTCATTCAGAGTTCTATTTGCATAATATATAATTTTAAGATTAAACATATTGCTATCATTTTAATTCCTAAAAGACATGGTGCTCAAACTTTAAATGATTTTTGTCTCATTTCTTTTACAATACTCTATAAAAAGCTATTGTTAAGCACTTAGTTGATCATATTAAGCTTGTTCTTTGTAATATTATTAATTTTTTTCAAGCTGCTTTCACTAAAAGAAGAGATATTGCTGATAATGTTATTTTGGCAAATGAGTATTTATTTGGAATTAATTATATTAATTTTTATAAAAACTTTTGTTCTAAAATTAATTTACTTAAAGCTTTTAATAAACTTAATCATACATTTCTTCATGATAGAATGGTCAGATTATGTTTCCCTATTAATTTTATTTGTTGAACTAAGACTCATATGGATGATGTTTGTTTCCATATTATAATTAAATTTGAAATGAATGAATACTTTGCCTTTTCTTATAGTTTGAGGCACTGTTATCTTTTTTCTCCTTATTTATTTGTTATTATTATGGATGTTTTTCCTCTCATGATTGATACTCAAAAAATTTTTTATCATTCAACAAGGTTTTAATAAAATTAATAATATTATTTATATTGATGATATTTATTGATTAGGATATTGATCTTTTTATTATACATCAACTTGCTAATGTTATGAACATTTTTAGTTTTGCTTTTAATTTGGACATTAATACCTTTAAGTGTACTATCTATTTTTAAGAAAGTTGATTAGGATTCTCTTCGTAGTATTAATGGTATAAAATCATTCATCTTCCTTTGGAAATGTCAGAGTATTACTATAAATTGTACTAAATAGATTGTCAAATTATATTTGATAAGTTTCTTATATGATTAGTTAGTTGTAAGCAAAAAAGTGTTTTGTATGACCGGGTGGTTCCAATTAATAAGTTACACTATAAGAAGTAATTATTATTATTGGTTTTGCTTCGTATATTTAGCTAAATGTATTAGGAAAAAAATTACTTCTTTGATTAATAATTTTCTCTTTCATAATTGCAATGAGAAAAATAAATCTACAATTTCTTGGCATACTACTTCTCTCCTAAAATTTTCTGGGGTCTTGATATTCCCTCTTTAGAAAAATATAAATTGAAAGATATTTGGAAATATTTCCATTCTAATTCTCTATTAGCTAATTGGAGTATGGACTATTATGACACTTTGTGCTTTAAATATATGTCTAAAATCTCTACTTTTTGAAAAGATTTTATTAAAATTACTTTAACGATTAGAAGATATCTTATTTTTTAAGTTAAT